AAAGGGGAAGAAAAAAAATACAAGTCTGACTCCCACGTGTTCTGGTATTCGATTAATAATTCTGAGGAAGACAGATGCTAAATTGTGTATGCCCATCAGCGCAATGACTTTCTGAAGATTTATCAATCATGTAAATCATGAATAAAATATTTCTGTGTTGTGAGAAAATCTTACATCTGTTTGGTGTATAATTGTCTTCTGGCTGCAAGAAAATAAGCACCCAGATCTGACCTGAGTGAAACTTTAAAAATGAGGTGGCGTCTCTTTGTTTGCACACAGCACTAAAACAATTAAATGAAAATACTATTCCTTTCTAAATATAAGACCTGCCATCTGTATCTCGTGCGTATGAGGCACACGTGTTTTCCCTCAATGTCTGAGCTGAAAAGTGAGAATAAATATTTGAGTGAGTGTCAGAGGCGTCACGACGGTGGTGGTGGAGGCTGAGCCAAAAGCCACCAGGACGGTGGCGTCTCCAGTCGCCCCTGGCGACCATCACGTTGCCATGCTCCGGAACAGACAGGCCTGCTCGCACAACAGATGGAACTAATGATGCGAAACAAAAGAGATCATTTCACTGTGGTCCTCTAGGAAGCCACAAAGCAAGGCTTGGAAGTTTGAATGACGGGATCAGGGGACTTGCACGGGGTTATGTACAGATAGGTTTTTTTTTCCAAGAGGTGCTTTGATGAATAGAAAGAAGGCTTAAAAAATGCCTCATTTAAAGGGCAAGAGTAAAAATATATTGGAAAATAAAATCAATCAAAGGCTTAGCAAAGAAATTGCTATATAGGCCAGGGTTTAGTAATGATTTTATAGACGATTGGCTTCTATATCAAATCATTAAACCATGAATGTAAAATTGTGGAACCAATTTGTTTTACATTTTGTTTATGTCCATTAATATTTCAATTTTTTTGTATTACTTTTACAAAAAAAATCTAAAAAAAATCAAAACATTTCATTATTTTACAGTAAAAGTACAAAGACATTTTATTTATTCGTTTGAAATCTGTTAAGTACACAAAAGATTGTAAAAAGTAAGTTTTAGAATCTTTGCTAACAAACTATACGGAACCTGTGAGGGGACATGGGGGGATTTTTTTATTTTGCGTTACCTCGCATTACTTTTGCGTTACTTCGCAATATTGCTTTGCGTTCCCACGCTAAAAATTTTTTGTACATGAGCTGAATTAAATCAGACATTTATTTTGAAATATCTGGTTACCAAAACAGGATGTCTTGCCACAAGTTCATGAAATTGACATTGATGTTGCGTGGCTGYACTGTGTTAAAATATCGACATATGACATACTTCCATGCGTGGCTGTGTGATATATTCATTCTGAAGCTGAATTGAAGTAGTAGGCTAACTCGCTAATGGTGTGAAGGTGAATTTCTTAATAAACCGGCAGGCACAAAGTCTTAAACGACTTTTGCGAGGGAACGCAAAAGGTATAGCGCAGGTAACGCAATACTTTTGCGTGGGAACRCAAAAATAAAAAAAATCCCCCGTGTCTCCTCGCGGGCTCCGTAGTATCTGTCAATCTTTTCTTGCCCAATACAAATTTTCAAAAGCGTTGAATAAATGTGGTTGATAAAATTGTTCCTATCATTCTAATTTCTGGCCAATAAAAGTTGGGATAAAACAAATTAGAGAATAGAGGCAATTTAAAAATTATTCCTTATTTCTGTTAAACAAGCGCTTTTACTTTATGAATCAAATAAATTAGTTGACAAGATGTATTTGTTGACAAATATCTTGGTAAACGTACACACTATGAAATCTCAACAGTAGTCTGTTGCTGTTTTTAAACCATAACAGTAGGATACAAGTTACCAACAAATCTCTGCATCCCAAAAAGTCAAAAACAAATCAAATTTGAGCAGAGGACATTAGCATTTCCTGAGGGACAGGATTAGATTTAGAGGTCATCTCCTATGAGTCAGACACCAATGTAATGTTTCACATTAAAGTACTTTTAAGTGAGGCTTATAGCAGCCCAGCTTGTTTTCCAAGTCAAAGAGTTCGAGAGAGTTCTGCTTTCTAAACACAATATGTAAAATAAAAGTTCAAACACCTGGGGAAGGGATTTAACCAGGGTGGAGCGGAGTGGAGCCCAATGCACACCCATCCACACAAGGAGGGGATCACTGGGAAAAGTTCAGCACCAATACTGACACAAACAGCAGAGCAAGGCCTGTATTAAAGTCAGGTTAGCAAAGATAACACTATCAGCCCGATCCCCATGGGTACCAAATGCCGGGCCTTGCTGGCAAATAAAGCTACAGTGTCTTGACTCCTTGGCACATTAGCTCTGATTACAATGACCTTCATTATATCAGCTACCCTTATTACAACACATAGAAGACGCCTCTCCCCTGGGCAGAGCACAGTGGGGGGAAGAGTACCGGAAAGCGGTGAGATTCACTTGTAAGGACTGAACTATTAAGAAACAAAGCAAAGACCTACGCTCTAATGTTCAATTATCACCTGTGAAAACACTTCCTGTCACTTCACTTAAAACGACTGGAGATGGATTATCAAATTCAATTTCAAGTACAATCACAGTACTGAGTCAAAGAACRTGTCCGTTTTGTTTTTAATATCATATTCATCTTGGGCAGCACCAAGAAGAAAATGTAGAAGTTGTATGTTTGCAAATTAGTGTCACTAAATATGTATAGGTGGAACCAGTAAGACAATTCCTCCTTCAAAGCAAATATTAAAAAAAGATATTCCTTTAAGACGCTTCCAACTATTTTCTGAAACAAAGCAGACCATCCCTWTGATACAATCCACTTGTATGCCAAGTTGCTATTTTTGGTATGAAGGCTCAAATTTTGCTGTGTCACGCAGCAAACAGCTTTGATTTTTAACACAGAGAATGTAGAAGGAAACCACATCTTTACAGGAAAACAAATCTCAGCTTCAAACAATCAAATCAAGATTGTGGAACCAGTTGGTATAGTCAAGCTCTGGCCAGCCAGGAAATGAGTGATTTTCTTTGTTTATTTATTTATCTAAATTTAATAAAATAAAATAATAGAATAAATATATGTATGCCTGCTCTTTAAAACTGAAGATTTTAAAACTGCCGTGTAAAGAGCTCTGATGGGGTTGTTAAATGAACGATAATCTGGAATTTTAAAAAAAACTGTCAAGATTCCAGTCTTATTGTTTTGTAAGACTGTTTCACATAAATGAGAATGAATTTTAGAATTGTAAAAAAAATGAACATCTATAATTAAAGTGAGATACTGTGGAAAGGTTTTGAACAGTTGACATATAGTCCTAGCTAATGGCTACTCTGGCCGGGAGCATGACCAGAGAGGACTACTGCTGTCATTTAAAAAAAATCACTGCGGTTTAAGAAAATATTTTTAAAAAAATTTTGCATTACAATATTGTTGACATAAAATGATGCAAAAAAAATGGCATACACTGAAATCAGTAGCAGTTAGCTGTAGCACTGCTTGTGCAGCCTGGGGCACCTCGAGGAGGAGTGATATAAGTTGACAGCAATGTAAAAGTAAATAAAATATTACTGACATTAACCAATATAAAATTATTTAGATTGATCACACTGGTTTTAGCCTGCTTCTACTAGTCGTTAGCTTGTTAATCTGGTCCAAAGACAAAATAAAACTATCTACAATAGGTAAGAAATAAAATGTATATAACTTTTTCAACAAAACCCCACTTTGAAAGATCTGAACTATCACTTTACGGTACAACAATCTCCAGCAAAATGTAAAATATCGAAAATGCGGACATTTCTAAACAAGTAAATCTAGAGACGCCACAAAATCTGGAGTCTTGTGGGACACCACTCTTTATTTGCTCTTCCACATCCYAAGCATGAAGCCGAGTCCTGTTTAATATGTAACAATGTTGTTAACCTCAATTTCCTGCCTCGTCTGCCCCTCCACAGGCTGCATTGTTAGCTTTAGCAAGCTCTTGGCAAACATTAGCGCCATGGTGGTGCGTCTCATTCAGTCTGACCACCCCGCAGACACAGGGGTTTCTCTCCCACAAGCCCTGCTCATCCCTCCTTCAGGCCCCTGCAGCGCCTCTCACCCTTTGCTTTTTGCCAGCAGGTGACTCAGGATAACAGATGTTGGCCTGAGAGAGACGCCTCATTGCATTCACTTAGTGCTGCCAACACACCTAACGCAAGATGAGCCAAACCATGGGGGGTGTCTGAGAAACCATCCCTTTAGTCAGCAGGAGGGACGGATGTTTTTATTTCTGCTGAAACACGAAAGGAAGGAGAAATTCAGTCTTTTAAATCAGCTTGTTTTGGATTGGGACAAATTGAGATGGGCCTTATAAACTCCTGTAGGCCGAGACAGCATGAGAGACACTCCATATCACTTTTAGCCGTTCAATCACACATTTGTCAAAGTCTGAATCCTGAAGACTGAAGGACACAAAAGAGACGTAGCCAAGAGTGCACTTAACAGAATCAGAGTTTAAGCCATGTTGATCCCCTATGACAGCATGTTAAAAAAAAAGGCAAATAAAATTGTAACTTAATTATAGATTTATAATGAGCCACTACACCACTGCCAAAAACAAGTCCCATACCAAGCCAAACAGGCACCTGCTGAATGCTCTCTGCTCCTGGGTTTTCATAGCTTAATTAATCTATGCCTTGGGGTATCATGACTCGTACGTGCTGCTTGCGTGTATGTTTTGAGACAATTAAGTTGCTCCGAGAACCAGAGGTGCAACTTCAACACGGAGCAGAGACACYGACACCACGCCATCACATGACACATTTTCTGTGAAAGTAATCTCAATTACCAAATCAGCTCTTCAACCCTGAAGTAAACAGAGAAATACTGGCAAACGTGTGAAATGCTCTTTTACATAGCTGACTCGCAGATTGATCAAACACAAAGACAACCAGGTTTTCATCTAAAATGTTTTTTTACTTGTTTTTCTAATACATTTATTTCATTTATAGACTCACAAATATAAGATCAAGACTTACCTTCCTGTTGAGCAATCTGCACTGAAGCTCGATCCGGCTGAAGCTCACTCTACTGCCATCTGATTTCTGTAGATAACATAAACATAAAACATCTGTTTACTGTCACACCAGGTTTCTTTGAAATGCGAGATTTAAAGAATTTCACCAGATTGCACCAAACACCAGTTTGACTGTCAAAGAACGGATCATCAAAGCACAAAGTCAGTCAAACCAAGTCAGATTCAGCAAACAACCCGAATTGTTAGTTTTATGCCAAATCCTGTAGCATTGCAAAATCATTGGAAATTCTTTCCTGCTTTGACTGCAACAAAAAAGTGTTAAAATCTTGATCATGCAAGAACAGTTTTGAACATGTTTTTTTGTCTGAGGGTTTATCTGAAGATTCTTTGAACCACGTATCAAACAACGTGAGAGTCTTAAGCTGAAAGTAGCAAAGGATGAACTGCATGAACTCATTTGTAATTGTAGAAAGAGTTCATCCTTTACTTTTTTTATTACAAGCAATGCCATGCTGTTAATAACAGTTTGATAATGCTCATGATGAAAACTACTTTTCCCATATTTGCTATCATGTTTGTGATCAAAAACATTGGAAGAAATCAGAAGCGCTGCAGGAAGAGTTCAAATCTGGTAGCARTTTACGACTCTAAAACATAACAGAGAGTTGTGTTTGTATGTTTACTGAAAAATCTAGATGAGTATGGTTATAAAGTATTGATGTGATATATAGCGGCAATAACCGGTGACCAAAATGAATTAGGACAAAAGTATGGAGATCTCTTAAACTCTAATTAGCAGTTCGAATGAGCCTGATAACAAAAGAGAAAAGGTATTTAATGCAATAATTATTACTATTGCTAATTACGTTTCCAATTATGTCACTAATGAGAACAGCTTAATTAACAGCACGCTGGATAAATAAGAGTTTAGCTTCCTACCAGTTGTGATGTGGTTACGATATGAAGGGCACGTCTTACGACCACAAACAGAAAAGAACGGTCAACTTTGACACCAGCATATTGTCTCTTTCATTTAATGAGATGTAAATAATTTCCAATAACATAAAGCTATAGCTTTTGTTCTGTGCTACGCTTAATATATTATCAACTAAAACAATCAAATCTAGTTGTAATAAGAGCCTCTGAAAACTAGAGATGCAACTTTTCAGCCAACAGCAAACTGCCTGAAGCTGCTTTTTCACTTACATTTACAAAACTAAAGTACCAAATCCTATCTGAAATTTCAGATCTTTTATGTTCTCGGGACATAAAATAAAGACACAGTCGGGAAGATAAAAGGCACTCAGACAGAAAAGTTGCAATACTGTTAATCTGCTTGGTTTGTTTTGATGCATTTACATAAATCCTCAAAATAGCACACCTTACTCTTTATCAGGTCATCAACAAAATTCTCCTCGAGTGCCACAATTTTCTCAATCAAAGAGTGCAGGGGCCAATTTTTAATTAACCATCTTTATGGTAATTGTGACCAGTCTGTTTTATTTATTCATATTTCTATTACCGTACATAAATAACATTTCTCATGCTATACTTGTAAAAATGCTAAGTAACATTCCACTTTTTTTTTGAAGTTTTGATTGTGATTTCGCTTGTAAATCACATATAATAAAGTTATATAATAAAGCGCAGTTGTTAAAAAATAACTAACACAAGACACTGACATCTGAAGAAAAGCCAAGGAAGGTTTCATGCAGTAGTTTTTTGGCACGTGGGTGGAGTTTGTCCTAACGTGATTGGCAGAATTCTTTGATGTGGGCGGAGTTTATCTTAACAGTGAAAGGTGCAGTTCTTGGTGAGGGCGGAGTTTTCCTAACCTTGATTCGTGGAGTTAAGAAAATACGTGGAGATTGTTGTGGCAAAACCGTGATTGGTCGGATTGACTTGTGTTATGAAGTATTGTAATAGTAAAATTATTATGAACATGTAAATATAATTTATTGACTGTTTATTTATAGTTTAAAACAGACCAATATATTTAAAAATGACTTTTTCCAGGCAGGTTATGGTTGTTTTGACTAAACAAAGTTGTTACACACCCCTCCACATGTACAGCGTTCAAATTTCATGCAGCTAGCACTTTCTTATCTTAAGTTTTGAATAAATTTTTATATTTAAAATTATAGGTGGTTTTTGGCTGTTTTCACCGAGTTCCCCCCCCCCCCCCCACCCGCAGCGTTTATCCAACCAAATCCTTATCATTAAACCCCGCCCAAAAATAGTCAAGCAATCACATCTTTACCAAACTCCTCCCACAAAAGTTCAACAGACCAATCATGTCTTCGACAAACTCCTCCCACACACCAAGAAACACCCACTTAGTGGAGAAGGGGTTAACTGCTGAATGAAAGTGGGCGTGTCACAAGAGTGGGCGTGTCTAAACCATAAACACTGTGGGCTTCGAGGCCTAWATGACGGTATCCTTAGACCCTGTTTGATGTCTTTACAGCCTGACCCTGACCCCAACACTAAGGTYAACCAGGAGAAATGTGACCCAAGTAGGGTTCTCCAGAAAAAGTGGTGCCGTACAGTAACGCCCCTTTTGTTCTTGTCCAATGAGGTGGTGCCRTACGGTGTCGCCCCTTTTTTGCTTGTCCAGTCAGGTGTGTCTGTTTAACAAAGTCCGTCAAATCAGGTGTGTCRCTTTAGAATTGCCTTTCGTTGTGACACGCCCACTCGTCCGCAGAGACCCCTACTTGACTTAGTGACTGCAGAGACCCCCTTCTTCTTGTGGCTGGGAAATGGGTTTGCTTCTTTCTATCTTGCAGGAAACTGTATTTGGCACAAACACAGAAACAATACTTCAACATCTCCGAAATCTGCTGCGTACTACTGCTCCAACTGTAAAACAATTTTACAAAAAATGTATTAATGTAAAGCAAAGTTGCAAGTAAATTAAACTTGAATTCTAACTCAGGTTTCTCAAATTTTAGTGCTTTTCAAATCTTACTGAGCAGAGTGGGTCTGATGACATGCTGTGAGCAAGAAAACTGATCACTGTGTCAGACTGTGATTAACCTATTAATAACTTTAAACTTGGTGGGCTGACCGGAATAAGTTCAGGAGCTGATTGTGGCCCACTGGCCAACAGGTAATAATCATTGATGTAAATAATTAAGGCAAGTCTTGACTGTGTTTAAACTGAAGAGCTAATAAATTATTTAAAAAAGCCTATTTTAAGTCACTTGTCAAAAAAAAAAACTGACGTCTCGCACCCAGAAGTCTCAAAAAGCTGCTGAAATTCCCCACATTCCTTCAGGGCGTACCTCCAAGTTCTGGGAGAGCGGAAGTGTTGCAGGGAGTCGTGTTTGAGTGCCAAGTAATGGAACAATGGATTAGTGTCATATCTTCCACATGGCTGCCTCCTAATCCTACCATCTGAGGTAAATACAGGACCAGGTGAGGCAACTGTCTGAGACACCTCTGGAACACAGAGGGATCTCCTCCTCAACGCCCAGAGGACTGCAGTTTCCTACTGGCGGGGAACTTCTCTGTGCGTTTGAGCAACAGAGGAGCATCTCTAACAAATGTAACAGATTGATTGAACACAAAACTAAAACTCCATTTTTTTTTGTCCGAGTTGGATTATTGGGAAGATTATTACAGGAAGAATAAGTGCTTAACGTGGCAGATTTTTGCCAGAAGAAATAAAACTTAGAGCGTCTATTAAATATCTAACATCTTGCAAAAATAAAATTGTCACCTATTTTTTTAATTCATGTTTATGTTTGTACTCGTCTTMCTTAAAACCCCATTTATTTTATGGTCAGAACATGAACATCTGTTTCAGCTCTGACTTTATGTGTTTTTGAACGGAAGCAAAAGGTGATACGTGTGTGCGTCTGTGTGTGTGTGTGTGTGTGTGTGTGTGTGTGTGTGTGTGNGTGTGTGCCCATGTGTCACTGCCAAGGAATGTTGCCAACTTTAGTTTCAAAGTCTCTGCCTCTCACCTCAGACTTAACACAAGAGGAGGAGCGAAAACAAACAAAACTAAAGAGAAACATTCATTGTGGTGCCTTTTTTTATTATCCAGGCCATTATGTAAAAACAGGTTTTGATACGTTATGGCACGACTGTTTTTCAGTACATTTTTTACACATGACCTCATAACTTAAAAAAAGAAATGTACACACCCATAAAGCAGCTACTTTTTTCAAAAAGACAAACAAAAAGTTGGCATTTGACAAGTAATTGGCACACACACTKTTAAACTGGTATTTTCCATTGTACAGGTGAACATTTCTTTGTCAAGAAAGCACAATCCGTTCCTCAACATTTTTCTTTTTTTAGTTTTTGGGATAAATTGTATACTTTCTATTGTTTCTAAGAGACATTCCTGTGGTTTTACTTGTTTAAAGTCTGTAAATAACTGCTTCCAGCATGTACTGTAATAAAACATATTTCATACTGAACATTTTGTACGTTATCCTTAAATAAATGTACCTAAAAAACACAGTTCTACCACAAAAACAACCCCGAGCCAAGCCACTAGTGAAAACCGTGTCAGAACATGTAATTGAGGGAAGGTTCTGAAAAAAGGTGCATATTTTGATTTTAGTGATAAAACGGCAATTACAGAAGCTGGAACGTGTTAACTGTTCGCTGACTGATGGGCGCCTGGAARACGATACGATTGATAACGCACCTGCTCATCACAGCTCGGGCCTTCAAAGATGGTCACCTAACTAGAAAAGGGATCACTGAAGTCATCAGGAATCTGCTCCATCTTTGAGGCAAAGAAACAAAATCTTGAAAACTTTGCAAAACTATACGTGACAAAAAAAAATGAACAAGAATAGTGAGATTTTCTTAGGTTATGTTACCATCCGCTGCCCACGGGCACAAGAAAGAGATAAAAGCACTGGAAAATACATACACACACCTTTGTCACGCAATGTGACAAACAGAGCAAAAAGGGCAATTGGGTTCAATCTTACACTCCCTATAAACGCAGCAGACACACCCCACTCATTATTTACTGTATCTTTTTGCACAGTTTTCATTAAAGTCTTCACTGAAAACAAGTTTTCCCAAGAATTACAACCCACA